TAACCTGAACCTTGTACCCCTGTCCATGAGTAAGGTGTTTAACCTGAACCTTGTACCCCTGTCCATGAGTAAGGTGTTTAACCTGAACCCTGTACCCCTGTCCATGAGTAAGGTGTTAAACTTGAACTGGTGATGTGAAAAATGTCCACATCCTTATGCATTACATCAAGTGTATAAACTTATGTTGCCCTGGGTAAAAGCTTAGAAAAATTACGCTAAGACAGCAGGTTGAAGGAAGGCAGTAAAATGTAATGATCCTATAAAACCTGTTTTAAAGCCACTGTGCTCTCACTGTGTGTGTGCGAGTGTGTGTGTGTGTGTGTGTGTGTGTGTGTGTGTGTGTGATGTATATATTACATTGTGAAAAAAATCTGCCGTTTTGACCATTAGCCGTTTTTTCAAACCTCACAAGGGGAAACTCAGTTGTATAAAAACCTGTAATCATAAAACTTTAAAAGTCTTGTATTTAGTTTCATTACTTATGGTTAAAGTTGTCATTGTTGGGATTATGGTTTTTCCCATAGAAATGAATGGACAGGCCCCACAAAGATGAGTACAAATGTGTGTGTGTGTGTGTGTTCTGAAGGGCTGGTGTGCCTGGATGACCACCTGTTCGCGGTGGGGGGGTACGACGGCAGGATGCAGCTGCAGTCAGTGGAGCGCTACAGCATCGCGCGGGATGTGTGGCAACCCGCAGCTCCCATGATGCACTGCCGTAGCGCCCATGGCGTCGCTGTGCACCAGGGCCGGATCTATGTGCTGGGTGAGTGTCAGGGAGCACCCGTCGATGGGCCAGACATCAGGGGCTTCCTGAAACCAGCAGGGGGCATAATGTATATCGAACTAGGCCGGCAAACGGGGAGATTTTCTTATGCTGATTGAAGATACCTGATTGGAAATTCAATAAACTGTCATGTTTAATAGTGCTTCTCAATTTGGTCCATGGGGGCCCACTGACAGTCCACGTTTTTGCTACCACCAGGAGCTGGGAGGGAGCAAAAATGTGGACTGTCCAGTGTGGGAGCAAAAATGTGGACTGTCTGGGGGGTCCCCTGAGGACTGGCTTGAAAACACTGGTGTTTGTGACGTCATCGATTTGTTTAAATGCCACCAGTTAAGGAAAACTGTAGCATTCGAGTCTTACTCCAGTGCCTTGTCACCATGGTTTCAGGTGGTTTCAACCAGGGAGGGTTCCTGTCCAGCGTTGAGTGCTACTGCCCAGATCGCGACGAGTGGACATACGTGACGGACATGCCCACGGGGCGCAGCGGAATGGGAGTGGCCGTTACCATGGAGCCCTGCCCCGGCAACCTACCAGAAGAAGAGGAAGTGGTGGATGGGTGACCAAAAAGAAAAACATGTTCTCAGATAAAGGACTAACCCTCCTGACCAGGGAAACGACTGAGCTCCTATGAAGACACTCTGATAAACAACACACTGGTGCTACGCCATCAAGCTGCACTTGCTCATTTCCTGCAGTCCAAAAGTTTATTTTTGCAGAGTTTTTAAGACATAATATATAACCTCAAGGTAGTAACTTATTTTTATTTACAAAATATCAACAAGTCAATAATAGTTGTTTGATGTCCTCAAAACCATTTGCAGTGAAAATCCGACGGCTGTCCAGTGGATACACCTGAACTTTGGGGGTGACAATTACTGCAGTTATGGACACAGCACACTTACTATGTTTATTTGTATATTTACTCTGGGGGGGAAAAGAAAAACTGAAGTAAAAATTTCTCAAGTCGTGGAAATTAATTCAGACTTGTTTTAAATGCTGGATACCTTTGTAAAGACACAGGAAAGTCTTGGTAAGCTTCTTTTAACTGATTTACCCGCAGAGCCTGATGCTTTATTTTTATTTTTATTTACCTATTTATGATTTTTTTTATTGCAGAAATTCACATTAAGTACCTTGCTCAAGGGTACTACATCAGAACAACTCCTATGGTCTTAACTAAACTGCAGGTCTGGTGTCCGTAACCATCATGCCATGGAATAAGCCCCCCCCCCCCGATTTTCAGTTCGTTGCCTTAGAATTTGAAGTGAAAGTCATTGTCCTCTGCATTTAACCCATATGTGACGTAGGAGTGGGCAGCTATTATGTAGGAGCTGGGGAGTAGTACCTTGCTGGTCAGGGATTTGAACCAACAACCTTTCAAGCACAAGCACATGACTTTAACCATTACGCAACCATTCCACCTTACAGGGCTGACTACAATGTTGCGCACTTTGTATGTACAATCCATCAAGACAGCTGCTTGCTTTACACACTGCACATCACGCACCCAAGAACCCGTAACTATGAAAAAGCACTCCATTTTGTCTTGTGCAATCGCTTAAATTCTTTATGAGACTAAAACATTCAATGGTGCGCTGATTACAATTACAACCATGTTTTTTGCCATGGTGTGTGAACGCGAGGTGGATATTTAGAGTAGCATGATGGCTCAGTGGGTTTAATGTTTTGCCTTGTACCTATGGAGCTGAGGGTTTGAATCCCGTCTCTCTCTTGAGTGGGGAGTTTTCATTTTCTCCTGGTGCATTCCAGCTTCCTTGAGTTTCCTCCTGAAGGGGAATTGGTGTCTCTATATTGCCTGTAGTGTCTGGGTGTGTGAATTTCTTTGCGTCAGGAAGGACTGGCATCCTGTCTCCCCCGTGCTGAGTAGGATAAGTTCTAGCTTGGATGGATAAACATTTAATTATTTTAGCTGCGTGTTTGTTTGCCACCACTAGATGGTGCTCGATTGCTATAATTTCTTTAGACGCACCCTTGCCGAAATTCATAATGAAGAGGTTCAGCTAATTAAGATAATTTCATTCACCATTGCAATGCCTCTTGTTTCAACGGTGATAGTATATCAGTGTTTTGATAACCATTTCAGCACCTTCACAAGGGATTGTTTTTCATGCCTGACGACATCTGATCCCCTTGTCTAATTTTGATAGTGTGCCAAGTTAGTCATTGTTTTCCTCTGTAGTAACATGTTTCCCCCCCCCCCCCCACTAGTACTAAGTTACTCTCAGCAGTTGATAACTCTCTGCCTCCATTTTTAAAATAGGCAATGAGTAGCACTTTTGGTTTGGTGATGTCAGGCAGTCTGGCTGAGGCACCAGTTAATCCACCCCCTGGTGAATCTTGTGTGTCCCCCGGAGAAATTTCTGGATATGGAGTGATCGGTCACGCCCTCCATGTGACTCTAAACAAGCAAGCTGCGAACTCCAGCGCCTGGTGCAGCAGAAAGGTGTTCTGTGATATTTCTACAAATCATTCTTCGGAAGGATCACCACGAGTACGACGCTCAGACGTGCTCCTTAATAATCCGCAAAAGTAACAGCAGTATGTTTTCCTAATTCTTGTACTTGCAAATATCCTTGAAAAGATCCCTAGATTCTCCTAAATAAATGTATTCAGCTATAGAATCGACTGAATGTGTAAGTCACCTAAAAAAAACTGATTAAATAAAGGAATAATTGTATCAGTAATAATAACAGTGCTTAAAATTTAAAGTAGAATGTCTCACTCATACCAGGGTGGTAGGTTAGTGTGGAAATTGAAGTTGCTATGGAAACTGTAAACTATGTCCTGTCAGGCTGAGGAGCCCCTTTTTGATCTTTGGGCCAGACAGTCGCATCCTACCTGTGAGCCACCGGCTTGTCCTCATGGAACTGAAGGGGAGGTTAGAACGGCAGGCATGCCATCACCCATAATGGCAAGTACACCTCATGAAATTACTCAGTAGAGGGTGTCAGGGGGGTGGGGGGGGGGCATAATTATCACTCCTTGTTGACAGGAAGAGCCTTGGGGAGGGGTCACAGCTGAGCGGAAGGCCACAGGCAGGTGATGTAGCGATCGCATGGGAGGGAATGGTGGGTTGGGGGGGGGTGCAGGGCATAGTCCATACCCCAAGCATCAGACTAGTTATATAATCTGAACACCCCCCTCACTGCTGCACTCAAAAGCAAGCATCAGGAAACAGAGACTGGGGGCCTTTATTTACACCCTGATTAGCAGAGATGGGCTCCGTTCTGTTTACTGGATATATCCTAATTTACTCTTAGCAGACTCAGAACATGCCATAAACATGCATGCATGCCATAAACATGCATGCATGCCATAAACATGCATGCCATAAACATGCATGCATGCCGCTTATAAACGACTCGTCCAGGACGGGGTCAGAGGGAATCTAAGCTTCTCCCCGGAAGCACAGGGTGGGGGAGACTGTGAGCACTCTCTCACGGAATGGGTGGTTTGCAAGCACCAGTTCACCTAACCTGCAGGGGGAAGCCTGAGTGCAGCCTGAGTGCAGCAACCAGCATGGGAACTCCAGACGCACAGAGCCAGGGGGTTCAAACCCACAACCCTAGAGGAGTGAGCGTATAGTGCTGCCCACTTAGCCATCGTGCCATAACAAACATGCCTATTTATGCTACATCTTCCCACACTTGAAGCTGTTATTCCTTGTTACATTTTCTTATGTCTGTTTAAATCTATGTCAGTCCTAGCAAAGTGAAAAGAGGGCGTTGACCAAAGACTAAAAGACAAGCACTGGTTGTTTTGTGCACCCCTCTGCTGTCACAACAATGCCCCGGAGAATTGCAATCTGAATGATGATGAACTTGATTATAGAGCAGAAAGTCGATTTGGGTTCAAAATGCCTGCAGTTCCTCTGGCTACAGAAAGGGGGAGCTAGGGAGCCAGGTTTGTGAGCACCACTTCCGTTACTGGGCAAACTCTCCTGGGGGGCTGAAAGGCACTGCCTGGGCTACTGTGCCCGTGTCCCCCAGCAAGAACACAGCACTTCTCTCTTATCTACCCGGACCTGCTGCTGGAGACGGCCTGCGGTGCATTAAACAGCCAGGGCCTCGGAATACGCATAACCCACTGGAGATGACTTCTGTGAGGAGGGTAATGAGAAGAGAGTCTGCGAGGAGGGGAGGGGGGGGCGTCTGGGGGTATGGGTGGGGGAAGGGTTGGTTTGAGGAGAGAAAACATTTTTCTCACAGCAAAGCTTGTGTGTCACTCTCAGGATGTGGAAATGCTGTTTCCCTGCAATGATTGCTTCCTACCATCCTTATCATTGTTTGATTTTAGCAGCCACTGTCCCGCCTGGCACTTAAAACCGTAAGGAAATTACAGCTAATTCATCAAGCCCCAAGTAGCGCCCGGGTTTTACCAGGCCGAGGATCGTACATTCACAGCAGAGACTCAGAATGCTCACGATGAACCAAACGTGCGACTGCCAATCTGATTGGCCGAAAGCTGGAGGCGGCACCAGCAAGCAGATGCCTACCCATCAAGGTGACACTGTGTCCACTTTCCACCAACATCACCGGCCCGTTCGGGTCAGACTGTCCCAAGGCTGGGGCCTAGGCAAGGACGTAGGAGAAAGTTTGATTTTGGGCAGGACACAACTTCAACATTTAAATACAAAGGATGATTCATTAGGGGGGAGACAAATTTAATATTGGGGGGGTACGTGTCGACCTCAGTTATGCCGCTGGGCCCATGGACTCCAGGTCACTATCTTCCCCAAAGAGCTTCAGGATAAAGGGGAGAGACCCAGTGGGTGGACTGGAGTAAACACATAGAGGGGCACTCGGAAAGCTCCAGAGCAAGACACCAAGAACGGAGCCCACATCTTACAACATGAGGAGCAGGCAGAACTTACATTTATGAATGCATAAAGATGACAGGAAGTCCCATCTGTGAAATTTTAAGTATGGTTTTGTAAGCTGACGGCAGAGATCCCAATCCAAGCTATATTAAACCCCTAGTTATTTTAAACAGCATTACAAGATCATCATCCCAGCCTTCATGAACACGTTAGAAGGACATTGTAATCAAAACGCATATAATACGCACAGGTTCAGCCAAGAATAACAAATCGTTTGTATAAATTAAGCTGGGCGCTCATGCACTATGGATGCATTGCATATCCTTGATACTTCGCTGTAAAACCCAAGAAAATCCATTGAAACAGTTCATTGCAGCAGCATCTTAAATAATAAATGTAGCACAACATCCGAAAAAGCAAATGGTTTATTCTGCTGCCTATGACAAATTATTAGTCAGTTTTGATAAAAATACCATACACTGCATTACACTAAAACGGAGAGATGGGGCTTGTGATTCTTACGCTCCTAATACGACAAATGCTCAGATAATCTGTCGGACTGCAGATAAAGTTAACAGGTTAAGGACTACGTCTTAAAACTTTAGTCAAGAAGTAGAAGAACAACAATAAATAATAATGATGATAATAATAATAATAAAAAAACTTCATGTTCCTGTCTAAAATCCATATCGGCTTAATAACGTTAAGTCCACTGGAGACAGACTCTTCGATTACTTATCGGTGCACAACCATGCAGCTCAGGAAATGCGCTTAGGTGTCCGTTTGCATGCCTCCAAATATCAAGACGCGTAAATATAGTGCTTATGGCCAACTTTCCAACTTTTTTTCATTAATAAATTACTTGTTTACGTATGTGTTTACTTGGGCACGTTCTTTGACTTTTACGCGAATGCACAACTGTTTCATTTAAAAGCAGCCGTACCCAATTGCATTACAGGACAAACACAAACACTTATAACACTTCCTCTAAGTCTAAAAAACAACAGAGATAACTAAGAGGGAGGCCATACAGAACAGATTATACACTGTTAAAATCCTAACTGCCTAACTCTCCTAACTCGCTCACAAGCATGAGTTGCCGGTTTCAAGCTACCCTCTCTGTGAATTGATTCTACGATGGACCTACTCGAATCTGAACGTACCGAAGCGGGGGATAAGCAGAGGGGGGACTTTACATTTAATGATTTGTTTAACGATAGTATACACTAAAGCAAACTATGAATTTTTATACATGCGTATAATAAGTTTTCTTTTAAAACAACCTCTACACAATGTAATATTTTACGCAGATACACCATTCACCACAGACTGTTTACCCCGTATCATAAAATGGAACATTCCACAATTTATTCCAGGGAAAGACTGACAGCTTTTTGGGTCATGAAGCAGCTGTTGAAGTCAGCGTTCAGCCCTCCCGCCGCAAGAATAAGAAATTAGTGTATTTTGAAGTAAATAACTAAAGCTTTTAACTTATGATCGGAAACTATTGTAAAATACAATTCACTGTAATTTATGCAATGAATGGGATCCACTTCTCAACACTGATGTTTTCGTAAGGAATCATAAACATGTGGAATGTTATTAAACAGATAGCCAGCTGGTTAGCAAACAATCACCCCCAAAAAACTGCATATGGTTAATTCAGGAATACCCAACAGCTTTCTTAATTATATGGCAAAACATTATGTATCCTATTGCTTTTTTCATGTAATCATTGTTTTACGTGGTTAAATCACTGTTGTTTGACAAACGTGGAAAACATTCAATAAATGACTCAGCTAAATGCGATTGTCTTTTCCTGAAAGTATAGAAAATTAAAAATAAAGTTTTCAGCTAAGAATGTGCAGTGAATAAAAAGCATTCACCTTCCATGTTAATATTCGCCTGGCTAATTCCACCTGGTCTTAAATTCTATCAAAAGAAGGAAAAGAAAAACACAGTGACCAAATTTCTTTGAAAGCTGAACGCAATTATAATCGTACTATATATATGTGTGTATATATGTTGTTACATAGCTGAGCTGGTTAAATCTTATGTATCTTGCCATTTCTCTGCTTATGTTGCATCTCTTGGTTCAGGAAGCCAGATAATAAAGTTTTAGGAGTTTTACTGCAGACCTAAATATCCTCCATCTTGGTGGGCAGCATTATTGTCTATTGTTTGATGCAGAGCTTTGCTGGGGCCACAGACAGAGAGAGAGAGAGAGAGAGGGGAGAGAGTACCCAAAGCCAAGCTGCTGAAATGGATTAAAATCATAATGTAATGCTTACTGCCTCTCTTGGCCCACTGGTGTAATTCACGCAAAAACAGCGGAGCAACTCTATGTTGTGGCTGTTATTAGTGTTGCTTGTTTTCACTGGGTCTGTCCCTATTTGCATCCTCTTTTTGAACACTAATTCAGCTTAAGTGTAGTTTAGTGCAGGAGAAGATAGCTTCCTCTAGCCCAGTTCTAAACGTTTTGATGATATTTTCTTCTGAAAAGGCGAAATGCGTAAGATGCGTATCTCTGGTTGTAGAGACCATCCTTCCTGCTGTGGACCAGGATAAGGAAAGAATGAACAGGATCTTCACTGAAACCTACCTTCTGCCATTGAAAGAAGAACCTTTATGGCTCTTTAAACTGCCTCTCAAAGAGGAACCTGGCCATGTGAAGCCATGTTTTCTGACTAAGCTGAGCAGATAGACACAATAGACTGAAGACATCAAACCAGGCATCCATGAGCTGCTGGGTGAACTTCATAAATTAGGAACGAGTTCCCATCTTATTGCTGAATGTCAGGGACAG